AGCCCCTAATATTGAGAACAGTTTAACGATTCCCTCTCCGATGCCCGACGAGGAACCGGTCACTACAACTACACTACCCGTGAAGTTCCGGGACTTCGCGACCGCCTTATAGTCTTCTATAGGATAGTCTGCGCTTACAATACAAACTAATCCACACATCAATGCTACTAATAATTTCATGTTTAATAATTATTTATAAAATATAAGGATTAAAAATATTATTAATTCAAAATATAAATTTAGGGATGATTTATTCGTTAGAAAAAATGCAACTTTATAGTTGAATTTTTCGCATTAAATACTAATTAACAAAGTTGATAACGGTAAATGTCAAATACACTAGAATTGTACTATTGTACTAAATACCATAGTTTTTAATAAAAGTATTGTTGTGACATAATTATGAGTGCAAGATTAAAACTAATAATTATGAAATATACTCAAATAATCAAAGTACGATATCTATTAAAGTACAATATTATTGTACGATATCTATGCATTCTCAATTGAACAAAACACTTAACTATGTTTTTTGAATTTTTTTTATTCCGTAATAACATATCTATTATAATGTTTAAAATATTTAATTAATTTTTTACATTATTTTAAATCATTGTTAATGTTAAGTATAATACTGTATCTTATGGACATGAAAAGTGAAATATGAAAAATGAAATAGAAACTTATTTTAATCATAAATAATAATAAAACAATATACAAAAATAAATGATTTATTAAAATCTATGTAATATTGAATAATTGGACTAATAATAAAAGTTTACATTTTTAAACTAAACTTCAATAAATCACATGACTATTGATTTAAATAATAAAACTAAAATTTTAGGCATTTTATCTTTATAACTAACATTAACTTAATCCTAATTAGATTTGTGAATAATAACATATTAGACAATTTATATGATTTAACATTTAGATTGTGAAGTATTGTTGAATTAATAATAAAGTTAATAGAAATTGAATGAATTTTGATTTTTAAAAGTAATTTTATTAATATAATAAGTTATACGAATTTGTTTATTGACTAAAAGTAATACAATATCGTATCTGTTAATAAAATTAGATAATAATTACAAATAACCAATATATTTTAATAATTTATCGGTTCATAATTTATACTTTTTATACAATATTTACTATGAATTACTCAAATATATAATTATATGATAATAATCTATTAATATTGATTGATTGACAAAGTTTAAAGTATGTTAATAGCTCCAACATTATATTGAAAGCCTCCGTCGGCCACCAGATCAGCGCCGGTAATAAACTGGGCGTCAGTGGAGGCCAAGAATGCAACCACGCGGGCAATGTCTAGCGGTTGACCCAATCGTCCCAATGGCGTGTCTTTTTGCACAACTACTTCGAGAGGGTTCAGAGGGTCTCTCACGTGTATAAAACCCGGACTATTGACAGTAAATTTACATATAATGATTGAGTGACTTATATAAGCGGTAATATTAATACTACTTACTTAACATTATTGACACGAATACCTTTGGGTCCCAATTCCAGGGCTAATATTTTGGTCAACATATCCAGACCCGCTTTGGCCGCTGGATAAGCTAGTGAAAATTTGATCTAAATAACAAATAGATATTTATTTTATATAAATATGATAAAAATAAATAAAATCATAAATGCATAACACAGTATAAAATTAAGTGTTTAGGAAAACCTTTACTAAAAAGTCGATCATAAATACACTAAATATTAAATACCGGTGCAATTGCGGCGATACTTGAAATATCAATAATAGTTCCGTTAGTCTTCTCCAGATGTGGAACCGATCGGTGAATGAGTTCTACGACAGCGCGTAAATCAATGCCAAATGTTTGATCCCAAACTGATAATAGATCCGGTGAAGTGATGTTATTAACCGGATATATACCGGCGTTATTGACTAATACATCAATTTTGCCAAAAGTTTTGACCGTAGAATCGATTAAATTGTTTATATCAGAAGTTTTGGTCAAATCTCCCACAACTTCTAATGGCTGTTAGAAAATGATTATTTTTGTTAGTAAATTACTTAATTTTAAAATTTGAATTTCTATTTAACATACCTTCAGTTTTAGTGGTGACAACTCTTGGACCTCTTTGGCCACTCGTTGAACGTCCTGTGCTTTCCTTCCGGTGACCACAACATTAGCCCCTAATATTGAGAACAGTTTAACGATTCCCTCTCCGATG